TTTCAGCAATTCTCTACATTCTTTATGGCTCGCTGGCCTTAATCAAATCGCTTGCAGATCTGGCCAGCTCGACGGTTTACGGGGCGTATGCGCAATTTGAAGCCACATACACGGTAAATCTAGCAGGAAAATGTGAAAAGCGAAGCTGGCGCTTTCCTTATTTTTTTTGCCACATAGCAGGCGATTTTTTACTGTCAGACGTATGATTAACTCTGCTGCTAGCGGAATCCTGCATCAACTTTACACTCGAAAGGATGCTTTTTTGGGGGCTCCTATTTTTTTCCTTTTTGGCCCGGAAGAACTGCAACTGCTAAAGCTGCTGATTCTGCGCCATTGTGTGAAATGTTGGCTTCCAGTTGCCATGGCCACTGCAACTGTAACTTTATTTCCCCATTGTTGTTCAATTGGATGAGGGGTTGGGGTGAGGGAAGTGGCTGCCGGTTTCATGAATCAAACATGACCGAATCTTGTTATTTGCAGTTTTCTTCCTCTTTTGTGTACACATGTGCGCGGTTTTTTTTTTTGTTAGTTAGAAAAGTTGGTCTTTTCACTCACAGAAAAAAAATAGAAAAAATAGGAAAGTTGGTATTTCGCCACTGTTTGCGGCTGCTACGTATGCATGGCATAAGCCTTTGAGTGCCTGCCACTTCTCTCTAAGCCTTTAAAGCGCTGAATTTTCATCTGAGCGTTGTGTTGCGGCTTTGCCGTGTGGTCTGTTGCTTTTAATTCGCCAGAGCCACACATTAAATTAATTTCCCCAAAAGCATGTCTCTTCGGGATTTTATGTACTATTCGCCTAACAAGCTGAATACTCAATTTTAAATTGCCCCAGGCATGTTGCTCTTATCTTTCGAGTGCTTCGAGTCATGCTGATGCTTGGGTAGTTGATTGATTAGCTAGTTAATTGCCGCCATTTAGATTGATAAGGTTTAAGATCCCCAATTCGATTCTATTGAAATTTCTGAGAATCCTCCAGTTGTGTCCAATTGACAAATACTTTCGGAACGACCTTCCATTCATTGGGCGGCGAAGAAAGGACTACCATAAACGAGCGAGTGAATGAATGAATGGTTATTTATTTGTACAAAGGGACACAAAGTGAACTCTAAACAGGAATGGTAAGCAAATGTCAGGCGAGTGAAGCGAACAGTTTGACTGATATTGACAAAGGCAAATGCCACCCACCAACCACCCACCACTCGAAAAAACTCAAGTGGCTGGCTGAGTCGCGAGTGCTCCGCTTTCCAATTGTTTACCCGCCTCCGTGTCGATTGTTTTCCTTGCCTTTTTCTTTCGATGTCCTAGTAGAGAGTATGACACTTTTCTTTGTCATAAGCTTGGTAGCTTAAGAACTAGATTTTCCATAAAATCTAGTCAGTAAAGTTAGGTCTATAAAATGTTGTAATTTGTTTAAATTCTATAGATAGGTTATGTAAAATTAGATCCCTTTTTAGACGTTTCACCTGTAGGGCAATATAAAGTCCGTACGTCTGTTTGGCATGTCAGCCCTAACTAGGCTCCTCATTTGTTTTTCTTTTCCTCTGCGGTGCTGACAGTCTTTTGAGTCGCACAAAAGACTCAATTAGGCGATAGACAAAAGACGGTGGACAAAGCCATATGCTGCAAGGCCCAGAAGTTGTCGCTAATTCGCAGACAAGCGGCGGCTAGGAGGGCGAGAGGGCTTAATCGATAGCGAAACGAAATGAAAACGGAAAAACAAACTGACAATTGTCACGGACCGACTGTCCCCGTCCGTTGTCAAGGTAAGACCGCCCGCGCCGCACACGGGGCGTATGCGTAATTTCTAAGCCACACTCGCACACGGGGCGTATGAGCGATAGAGCCTGGCTTGGCTAAAACGAATACATTACCGGCAATTGAAGATGGAGGCGCCAGTCTGGCGAGCTGCAGGATCCGATGCCGATGCTGCTGACACAATTTTCGCCGCTGCAGAGCTGCAGCTGCAGGATGCCCGCACACAGATGCACCAGTTACCAGTACAGTTACAGCTACAGCTGCAGATACGGATACAGACACACAGATACACGAAGCTGCCGCCGAATTTGCGAATTTCGAGCTTGCCACGACGAACACCCGGAGGCTGTTGAACCGCACCACTCACTCTGAACTCTTTTGCCAGTGCCTTTTGTGGGTTTATGCCGTTTTTGTGCACATTTTCCGTTCCTCCTTTTAGCGGCTGCTGCAGTTCGCGCTGCCGTTGCCGTTGCCGTTGCCAAAAGTGAAAAGAGGCGGACGTGCCGGCGGTCGGCGGTCGGAGGTCGGTGGTCAATGGTCAGAAAACAGGTTCAAATGTCGGCGACCGCAGGCGCAGGTCCTGCCGTTGTCCCTACGCGAGTGTGTGTGTCTGTATGTGCCGCACAACTTTCCCAAAAGTATGCAAAGATATTTAGCCTAGTTTCGGCTCTCCAACATCATCGCTGCTTTTGCTATTTTCTTGGCTTCTGCACTTGCTTGGCATTTTCATTCAATTTGCTCTCGAATTTATTTCAAAATTTATTTATGGAAGATCATTTCACTAGCATTTAACACTGTTTTTGTTTTTGTTTCTCGATTGTTGTTGCTAATACAACACACACATTAACAGGCACAACACATGCAGCAGTGTGTATCTGTGTGTGTATCGCTGTGTAGTAAAAATAGTAAAACGCTCGGCACTTAAAATAGGAGAAGCGCAGCGAAAAAAACCGTTTGCCGCTGTTCTCTTCAACTGTTGTTGTTATTGTTTTGGTTGCTGTTCTCGTTGTTGTTGTTCTTGTTGTTGTTGTTTGCCGCTGCTGCGTGTGGAAAGCACGGAAAAAACGTTACACGCTCATACGCCGGATAATGAAAGACTAACCTGCGAGCCACTAACCGACTGCCACATTATATCGCGAGTGTCTCTGAAAAGCCGAGCGAACGCACGAAGGGCGCACGAACTGCCCACGAAGAGCGGTGCTAGGAGGGTGGGGGGCAGCCGAAAGATAAGGAAGAAAGTGCACAGGATAAGGAACGGAACGGCAATGGAACACTGGCCAGGCGATAACAACTGCGCCGCTCTCTCTCTGTCCTCTCTCCTCTTTTCGGCTTCTTTTCCCCAGCTTTCTCTCGTTGCAGTGGCGCATTTCGCAGGGGGTTAGGGGTTGAGGGGTTGAGGAAGGGGCTCCAAATAGAACCCCCATAACCCTCCTACCACCCGCTGTCTTAGACAAGCAAGCGCGTAAGTTTTTGACGCCCGTGTTAAGTCGGTTGGAAAAAAAGTTGCTGCTGAGTCTTCATATACCCTTTATTGTACAAAGAGTCTATCGGCAATAAACACAAATAAAAGTCAGGTTCTTATAAATTAAAAACCGCCGCTAAAATATTGATATTGTGATTAATGAGAAATGTTACCATTGGAATATATTACACTGGTATCTAATAAATTATAATGCGAAAAATCATTCAAACGATTTATCTTATTACAAATTCCAATTAAACATTTGGCAATTTAGCAGTAGGCTGTAAAAACAACGAAAATTATAATGTATCTGAATTACATTTCTGTCCGTTCCCTCGTACGCATGTTATAGAAATCCCATTCAACCAAAATCGTTGGAATGCTAGTGTTCTTTTTGAAAAACAAATTCTAAAAATCCCTATTTGTTTGATACCTTCGAATAATACGGGTTTCTGCTAGAGATCTAGTATATATTGTAAAACTACTCCTCAGTTAAGATTTTAAAGCCTTAATCTATGTAGTCAACTTTTAAAAATAACTTAATTGGTGGGCGTATAACCGGAAAAATTGCTTTCCTCTGTATAATTTACATTTAGTTAATTACGCAATTTTAGCTTGTCTCTCAATTCAGCTACATGTCTACAGATTTCTCGGTCAAGTATCTGAATTATTCATTATATATCAAGTCTAAGGTATAAATAATAAATACGTAATTATTCTTTGGAATATATTATACTTCGTAGTTTGAATTCTATTCTTTTGATAATTTTAATACTTTTGAAATTATTAATTTGATACTCAATAGTATAGGTTTTATTTAACAATAGTTTTCTTTCTGTGACTATTTTAAATAAAATGATTTTTTAGAAATTAACCAAAAATTAATTATTGTTGTATAAAAAGATGTGACTAGTTCTTGAATAGAAGAAGCCCATCTTTATTTTCGTAGGGCATCGCAGTGCCTTCAAAGATGGAATCCCGAACAAATTTTCTTTCTGCGATGGCGTCTGCGTATGCGTTTGGGGACCCCGACGGCTGGTGGGCTGCGAACTGTGAGCTGTGCGAGGCGTCGTAAAAATAAATAAGCAAAACGGAAATTAATAAGACCCAAATGTTGCCGCTGTCGCAGCGACCTCCCATTTCGCCCCTGAGAGACCTGCCGCGACAATAGGCCATAGCCTCACAGCCGTATAGACGTAGCAATGGCAACATCACCAGCAGCAGCAGCGAAAAAGAAGCGAACGCTGCCTGCCATTGCTGTAAGTACAGTCGTAAATACGAACACACCGACAAACAAGTATTGCCATTATTACACACACAACGGGGGTTTGCAAGTGTGTGTTCACAACCTTTTCCTGCTTTTCTATTTGGCTTTCATTTTTTTTGTCCGCTTTTCTATTTGTATTCGTTACGGACACGAACTTATTCGGCAGGGGTGCACACGGGGCGTATGAGCAATATATTTATGTTTATAGCCTCCAGCTTGTGTGTAGGCATAAAAATGTCGCGATTTTTTGAGTGAGTATGATTATTTGGCACGACAATTCAATTCAATGAATGAATTAATGCAATCATAAAATCATGGCACGTTATCCGAATAACAAATTTATTCTTACATCAGTCGCGAATTTCATATCCATAAAATTCTTCCTTTTATTTCAAATTTCTTAATTTTATGCTGTCGTTTAAGTATTTCAGAGGTAAAATACCTGATATTAATCCACTAGGCATTTCCAAAAATCCCACAAATAATTATCTCTTAAAATAAAACATCTTCAATTTGTTTTTTTTAAGTTTTATTTATGTAGTTTTTTATTTTAATCATTGTTTAAATCTACAAATACATTTACAGCGGAGGGCGAAAGAACAAAAAATTAAAAATGTTTACTCATTGTTTTGTTGTTACATGCAAATTTTTACTTCTGCGTGTTGTTGACAAATTTGTTGTGGTTTTTTTCTTTTTGTTTCAAGTTCTTGCTTTTACCATCGAACGTTTATATAATTCTGCATTTGTTTATAAATATTTGTAGTCATTATTATGAGTTATTTATCTTTTGTTTTTGTCCTCGTTTGGTTTTTGTTTTGCTTCGTTTTAGTTTAGTATCATATCTCTTTCACATCAGCATCCATCGATCAATATTATTAATTACTCAATATAATTTGTTAACAACTAATAATAATAATTTTGTTTAGTTTTTCATTTTCTTTCATAACTAACATGCCATAATTATCGTTATCTCCAATGCTAATGATCATCTTCACTAAGTTAGAAAACAAGACAGTTGGAAAACGAAAACTGCAGCGAATTAAACTCGAATGTCTGGGGATATCTCTCTGCGTGGGTGTGACTGTCGGTCTAGCCGAGCTTGTTGAGTATTTGAATATCCGAATATCCGCGTATCCGAATATCACCTTCTGATTTCTATCATTTTTCACAATTCACAATTTGAAATTCCCAATTAGCCCTAGCCGCTTTGTCAGACCCACTCATTTGATAACGACAATGCCAAGCTTTTTAATTCGTTGAATTTCAATGCGGTGGCCAACAATTTGACCGCTCAACCGTTCGTGTGTTTGTTCTTGGGGGCGTGTGTGTGGGCGGGGAAAGCGATAAAAAACAATCAAGGAAAAAGTAAACACAATACTGCCTTGGGCTTGCCCCATTTTGGGGCGCTGTGCCGTGTAAAACTTACAAACATTTATTTTGTGGGCGCTTCTGTTATTATTCTGTTTTGGTTTTGGTTTTCGGTTTCGTTTTGTTTTTCATTCTGGGCCTAGGTATCTGTATCTCGATATCGATAAGGGGGGACTTAACCCCGCCGTATCTCTGCATCGGTTCTTTTGGGCTTAAATGCACACAAAGCATAATATTGCATGTCAATTGTTTTAAGGGGTTTATTTATAAACATTTAGTTGGTTTTTTTTTAGATTTTAACAAATTCTTCTCTGCAGATTCTCCGCGAATCGCCGGCGGGCCTCCAAATATTGCTCGGAGACCCATCTCCGGCTCTCTGGCGAAATACCAAGTGCAGATCGGTCGATTTCGTTATGGTTTCAATTTTGGTTTTTTTGGTGTATTGTATAGCTCCATTTATATAATCAAATTTCCATATAATATATGTGTGTATATATATAAACAATTATATTCCTCGTGTTCACATTTCTTGTGGTTGTTTTTCTGTTTATATATATATTTCGTTCTTCTGCGCTAAGCTGCGTTTACACACACAAGTTTTGCAAATTAATTTCTGTTTCTTTTGTTTTGTTTTTGGTTGTTGTTGTTGTGGTTTTTATTGGGGTTTACTCTTCACGGCTTATTTGGTAACTACGCTAGGTTTTTCATTGTTTTCTTTCCTCTTTTACTTTTTTATTACTTCGTTTTATAATTTCTCTAAACTTCTTATATACTTTGTCTCGTCATGCGTTGTGTATCGGTGTGTGTGTGTGTAAGAGTTTGTGAGTGTGTCTGTGCGAGTGTGTGTGTGAATGCATTAAGCTTTATTTTGGGATCTTTTTATTGTTTCGATAAGCCTCTGCTTAAATAATCGATTCATCCAGTTCGTTACGTTAATAATTTTACTAAAAACATGGTGTTGTTACTGTTTTGCTTAGTTACTGGTTGTATTTGTTCTTGTTCTTGCTTCTGTCTGGTTGTGATTGGTGTTTCTTCGAAATTGTTGTTCGTTTTGTTTATTTGTTTTTGTTTTCATTTATACTTTATTTAAATCTTATTTTTAGCTTTAATTTATAATTTAAATTTACTTAACGTTTAAAATAATTATCGCTTGCATTTTTGTTTCTCCTCGTTTACTTTAAATAATTAAATTAAAAAAATAAAATATATTGTAATATGTTCTTGCTGTAGCTTTTTGTAGCCGTAGCTGTTGTTGTTGCCGTTGCTGCTGCTGCTGCTGTTGCTATTACTGTGGTTGTGTGGGTTTTGTGGTTCATAAACATTACTATTTGTTGCTCTCCATGGTTTGTAGGTGTTTGTGGGTGTTGGTTTCTCTGGGTGTGGTGTTTCTTTGTGTCTCTGTGTGTGTGTGTGTGTGTGGGCATGTGGGAGTGTAGCAGAGTGGGTGTTTAATAGTATGTCTCCTGCTCCAACCAGCCTCCGGGGTTGCGACGCAAGTAGAAGCGACGGGTCTCGTCATAGATGAAGATGGCCAGCGCAAATGGAATAGCCGGGAACCACCAGACGAGTCTATAGGTTTGGGAATAAGATCATTATATATATTTTTTTTAGGATTTCCCCTCTAGATCACTCACTTCAGGGGGTACATGCGCAGACCCTTCTCCATGCCCGGGCAGTACGAGAGGAACGCGGCCAGCACGGTTTCAAAGACCAGGCCAAAGTTCAAAGCCCAGTTGCGCATGCCCTGCTGGAAGATCGAGTTACGACGCGTCTTACAGATGATCAGATCGGCCCATTGCACAACCACAATCGAGATGAAGAAGGCCGTGTGGCAGGTGTACTCCAAGGTCTTGCGGTCGCGGTAGGTCTACAAGGAATAAAGAAAATTTAATCAGAATTGTTTCACTATATTTTGGTTTGAAGGCAAAGAAATCAACAATCCTTTCTGATCGTTGAACCAATTGATTAAATATTTTATATCAGGGATGCTCAGTCCTATGGCACACGAGCACAATTGTTTTTGTAATAGCACTAAGCATACGGCAGTGCACTCGCAACGCTTGCCTATGCACACCCCGAGTCCTCTTTGTGTCGCTGTCCGTAATAGATAAGAGCGAGCCAAGCCAACAACAAATTCCATTGAACTTTTTTTTCTCCTCAACTCACAGTGCGAAGTGTTGTTGTCTTTTTCATGACTGTGTGTGAGCCGTTACTTACGTGCGTGTGATTTTCTTTTAATTGTGTTGGTAAGGGCACTGCCGTAAGCCAATTTTGAGCACCCCTGTTTTAAATTCTCAACTTACCCATTCTTGTCCGTAGGAGTCAGTTAGATCGTTGACAGCCTTCGAGTCCCACATCTTACGAATGCCAAACAGTTTCTTGGGCAAGAAGCCGTTCTCAGCCATGATGACGAAGTATACAAAGAAGCCGGCGGCGGCCTGGATCATACCGATCTGTCCGTAGGCCATGGAAATCAACCTGGGTTAGTTAAGGGGGCGGGGGTGAGGTGGAAGTGGGGAGAAATAAGCAGATCTCGTTAGACAACTCTCAAAAGCAGGCTACACTTTTTTTTTTCTTTTTGTGTGGGGTTTGGTTTGTTTTTCAGGACGCAAGACACTTTTCTTTACGGTTTGGCTAGCGGCAAAGATTCGGGCAACGGACAGAAACAGGAACATGCGCGGCTTGGCCAAGGTTTTTGTTTGTCGTCGATAGGGTAAGTTTAGGGCAGAGGGGCAACAAATGCTTGAAATTAAGCGGTAAACATTTGCACACAGGAAGATAGAACGGAAGAACACACGTACAACAATCACAAAACACTTAGGGAGGAACAAAAACCCTGCCCAAGGACCGCCACTGTCCGTTCAGAGTCCTCGATCCGAGTACTAATCCGTACTCGGGGTTAGTCAGTTAGATTGGTGTTAGTGCCACTTTACCTTGAAGCTCTTTTAGGGATTGTTTAAGCAATGAATGTTTATCGTTTAGATTTAATGGTGTTAGACTTTACTCTATATAGCGTGGATAGTGTCTGAGCGAATCTCATTTCAATCAGCTGTTGTTTGTTAAAGATTCGTTTATCTTAAGAGCGCGCAAAAGCAAATCGTTCTATTTATACTGGACAAGAAGCGTGAAGGCGGAATCGTTTGAATTTCATTGTATTGTTTGGCTTTCTTACATTTTGCATTGGATGTGGATGTGAAAAGCAAAGTCATTGTTAATGCTAAGTGAACATGCGGCTAAATACAGGACATACAGTGCTAGATCTAAACATGCAAGACATTGAAGCGTGCCATTATAACTACGATAGGCGAATGCAGCTCTACGACCTTTTCGTTTACTTACGTTTAAGGAAGTTTCGATCGAAATCAACATAAAACATAAACGCAATAATAAACTTACACTTAAACACAAACTTAAGAGATATGAACACGTAAGAGTATTGCACACAAAAAATTATAACAAATCTCCGTTGCCATTGTTGTAAGGTTATCAAGTTTTACCTATTTTTAGGACAACCTCCCTCACATTCAGACTTACCGCGACTTGGCACTTGGAACCAGATTTCGGAACAAGTCTAAGTATATATTTGGTATATAACGATCATATGGTGTATCTAGAACACAACTGAAGCGATTTTCTTTTTGTCGTTGGCTCGAACAAACTCATCTACAAATAACGCACTAACTGGTCTAAGAGTAACGGCAGAAGCTTCGTTTTGTGGGGTTTATGGTAAAATTCAGTCTTTTTCTTGTCTTTGAGCTGGTGGACATACATCCACTTAATAGAGCTCGATTGTTTGATGTTTTGTTGTGTGTTCTCTGTGTTTCTTGTTTATTGTTTATAGTTTATGCAGGTGAGCGTTGGAGCGAGCGAGCGTTTTTCTTTGAACTAACTTCGTTAAATTCTCTAGAAGCAGCTGTTGGGCGTTAATTCTTTGTGGCACTACGGTTTGCAAAACAGACACTTTGAATCTGATACGAATTTAGTTCCTGAATAGATTAACACACACAATAAATCTGTGTAAGGATCGAAGTTTGTTGTGCGAGTAACACACCACAAATGTAACACTTAGATTTAGGGATTTAAGTGAGGGATACATAAAGGGGTTATTTCATATCAAATCAAATACAATAAAGATCAAGAATCGTAAATTATAACCAAAGTTTTGAAGAGGGTAATTTTAAATTTGTTTTTCTTGTTTCCAGAGTATAAGAAAGATAATTCATTCCACATTGAGAGTTTCAGAACGGAAACGGAAATCATAAGGATGTCACATAGCAACAGGAACGGAAGAAAACTATGTGAAACACAAAACCGTAGAAAAATAGTAATTTTTTTGTTTTTTTTTTTTTTGATTTTCAAAAGTGTGGAATTTAATTTTAAACAAAGAAAAACGCAGGAACGCATCAGCAAACGAACAAACAGTCGCAAAAGTTTCTGTGTGAAATTTGGAATTTAGCATTCGATCTATTGATTGATATAGACTGGTTGATGATCGGTTGATCTATTGCTTAATTGTTGGCCGAATTACGATGCAAGAAACGCGACCACAACACATCAAACAAAGTTCAAAGTTGGTAAAGTAAAAGATGTTTGCATGTTTGTTCATTTTCTAGTTCTTAACTAATCAACTAAAAGACGGTTAACACTTGGATATTGGAGTTTTTTGTTTTTTTTTTTTGTTATAAAACCTTAGCGTTAAGTTTTCCTGACCTGCGGTTCACCAAGTTGTCGCGATACGGATCTCTCGGCTGACGCTTCATAATATCGCTCTCGGCTTGCTCGTAAGCGAGTGAAATGGCCGGAATCTTGCGGTATATGGCAATAATGGTTATTGATTGTTCGGTTATCGGTATTTGTGCAAGTTGCAATTTGTTAGTTTGGTTGTTTGGTAATCAAAAGAAAGACATAACAAGAGTTGAAAGAATGTAGGGAAATACAAAGGAAAATCCGATTAAAGTTTACAAATATATATAAAAATATTTGTATAAAAGATTTATATAGATATGCTTGCGGGCGAATAATAAATACTTGTTCTTTATACGCTAATTAATATTCACTAATAGATCGTAATAGATAGATAGAGTTCTGAGGGGAGGGCGGGAGGCTGTGTCAAGTAGTACCAACATTTGGTATCTGTTGTTGCATGTTTAAAAGTATTATAGTATCTCTGTGTTTTTTTTTTTTGTTAGCTCCCGCGTACTTACGAAGCTAAATCTAATCTAGGGCAGAAAGAGCATAGAGCACCCAGTAACAGTAAAATCGATATATAGTAAACAGTAGGTAGGTAGTTAAATGCACAGTTATAGGGTGTTTAAGAATGGCTTAGAGCTTAAATTGCGCTAGGTCGTTATGTATGTATCATTATTACTAAAGGACAATTTTAGCCTGGTTTTTGATTGAGTTCGATTGCTTTTGAAGGAGGTTTGTGTGAGTGTCGGTCAACTACAACTCAAAAGAAGACGTTTCAATGAATGGCTGATTGAGAGTTGGTAGAAAATATATAGGACAAACTCTTGACTGACTGATTGATTGAATGTGCTGAATGATTCGAGTAGACTCTAAGTAGAAGAGAGTCGTGAATGAATTGATGTCGAGATCGAAGTTTTATCTACCGATAATAATAGTGTAGAAATAGTAGAAACGTACATATGTTCGATACAATATACAGACTCTCTAAATTAATAATAGGCCTGCTCTAGCATAGAGTTAAGAACTAAGATGGAAAAGATCTGTTTCAGGATTGAAAAAATCTATCATTAACCCACGAAAAGGAAACTCAGAGCAATGGGAACATTTTCTCTGAGCTGTGCCCTGAGCTTCTAGAAAACAACATGATCGCCACTTACCTTCGCACCGCAAATAAAGGGGTCTTCAAACAAAACATATAAACAAAGATCTGTAGAACTTCTACAGTATAACATAAATCCAAAATCAATAAACCAGGTTATCAACGAATAAGAATAAAAGAGTTTAAGCATATTTCCGGTATCGGAAACAATAAATTCAGATGTCATACGAAAAGTTTTTATGACCCAAAGTTGTTTTTCCAAGCACCTCAGGATCATTGTAGATAAAGAGAAAAAGTGAAAGAGAGAGCGAAAGTTTACCAAAATAAGCAGAAAAGTGAAGGGCAAACTAACTGATTTTCTGGCTAACGGGAAAAGATTCCTAATCGAATGTTCAATCTTTAAATATTTCAAGTGCAATAGAGACGTTGGCCGAATGGCATCCGAAGAATTTGTTATTCCGTGTGTCTTCATTGTTAAAAACTTATAATGAGTTGGAAAAATTCTATTGAGATTATATAATTATTATGAAGCTAAATATATGTAGTTATGATTACAATTACATTTATCAGCGTATAATAAAAGGATATATTGCACGACTGCATAAACAAATCAAAAATCTTACAAAATTCCAAACGTACGAAGAAAATACAAAAGGAAAACATACTTAAAGTATTGTTCAAAGATCTTTCTAAAAAAACATTATATATGATATCCATTGGACCTTTAGGCCCAGTGATTAAAGTGTGCTTAGGAAATATCTTATAAGAAAAGTTGGCGGATTCTCTAAGAACGCACCTTGAACCAATTACAGTATAATAGTTATGTATAAATCCAGAATACTAATCGTTTTGAGCTTTACTTTGTTACTATCTGATCGGAAATATCAGAGACTAGAAGAATCTGAAGAATGTTCAAGTAAATAAGGGAACATCAAACAGAAATCGAACGAAAAGCTACCAAATAAAACATTTAACATAAAACATGGAAAACATTTGTGGAGTTAATCCAAATAATCAACATTCAACCAAGGAATACTTAAGCTATTTTAAAATATTTTAGTTAGTATATAGAAAGACAGAGGTATAGCGGATAATATAGAGATAAATAGAGTAAAATGATTTCAATTATCTTCGACTTGAAAGATAGAAAGAAAGCGTACTTTGATTTTATGCTTGCTTTAAAGACTTTGGCCGTCCAAAGTACAAATTAGGTTCAATGGTATTCAATTTGCTTTTCATTGCGTGAGAAAGAGGAATTATTTATGGTGGTTCATAGAGTTGCAGAAGATGCAAAATCTTGATTTGCGTTCGGATATGTGTCTTTTACTTTAGTTCGAAATTCAATTCTTGCTGATGTTTGTTTTGGTAGGTTGGTTGGTTGATAGTTGTTGGTTGTTCTGGTAATTGTTGTAATTGATTGCAGATCAGCACAGAGCGAAACTTTACCTTTCGTTGACCAGTTTATCTTGGAAGGGATTCCTCGGCTGGCGTTTCATAATATCGGATTCAGCCGTCTCATAAGCTAAGGAAATGGCTGGCACCTAAACGTGCGAACGATCGTTTGTTGTGGGTTGGTTATCGGTTGGTAGTTGGTTGAAGTGGAAAAAAATAAATGAAATTAAGTACGATAAATTATGGGAACATAAACTCGCTTCTGCTTGAACATCTGCCTTGGATGGTTTCACAAAAAACTCTGAAAAATCCGCTGAGCTGAGGGATCGACCGCTGATTCATTTGGGATATGGGTATATCTTACAGGCTAAATTGCATAACTTATAAACCCCCCTTAAATCGAACTTAGGCTGCTGCAAAGACTTATTGGGCAATGGTTGGGGTGTGGAGTGACGAACAGAGTTAAACATAAGGTAATGAAAATTCTCGATTTAAATCATGAAACAAAATCAAATGGGATCAATTTCGGGTTAGTTGCTACAAATCGTGTGCAATTGGTAATTTTGATATTGAAATTTTGCCAAGTTTTACAAACTAAAAATCCATTACAAATGCCAATCAATTTGTCTAATTCAAATAACGTCGAGGGGTGGATCTTACGGTTAACTCAGTGTTAGTTACACCACAAAACGAAAATCGTGAGCGATATGTATCTGATTTTTTATTTTTGTGAGAGAATAACGAAATACGACGCACACCAATTAACATTTAGAGCATTTAGAGTATGGCTGATGAGGTCGGTATTCAATTTTGGGCTAGAGATTCAGAGTCGGGATGATTGAATTGTACAAGTGGAAACAGTTATATGCGTATGTATACATTTTATATATAACTTTTTGGGCTCGGAACTTAAGAGCGATGGAAATGGAAACTTGTACTTGAAATGTACAGAGCAGATGTATTTATGTATAGATGGTTATATGCATGACGAGCGATCTGCCACCGAATGGACATATGCTACAGAGATGAGATCTGAGAGTAAAGCTGGTGTGGTGGCCATGTACGAGTGATAACATTCTTAGGAGTAAGTTGGGCAGTTAGTAAGCCATAAACGTGTCAACGGCTTTGTTAGATGTTTGCGCTGCTTTTCGTTTAGGCCATCTTATTCTAGTACAATCCAGCCACATACACATAAGACATATGCTATAGTTATATGGTTTTCTCTTGATTTGCGCTTTTCTTTACTTCAGTCTTGATTTTTAATTTTTTAGTGGTTGAGATTAGTGGGCTGGTGAGTGTGTGTGGTGTGTGTGTATTAGTGTGGGGTATAAATTGACTTGATTGGCACCTTGAGTTCACTAATTTATCGTTGAAGGGGTCACGTGGCGGACGCTTCATAATATCGGCTTCGGCGTGTTCGTAGGCCAATGAAATGGCTGGCACCTAGGTATTGGATTATGGCAGGTAGTTACATTAGCAACGGTTTACACAATTTCAAATCCATTAATTCAATTCAATTCGGTTTTGGTTTCGATTTCGGCCTAGATCTGTGGGTAGCTAGAGGTCGGGTCATGAGATAGAGCACTTAAACTACTCGATAGATAGGTAAATATATAGATAGCCTAGCACTGGCGGAGTTCTCAAGCTGTGGCTTCAACTGGATGGAGAGGCTGGCGCGGTTACCTCTCGTTGACCAGGTTATCGATCTCCGGATTGCGCGGCCGGCGCTTCATGATGTCCGCCTCGGGTCCCTCGTAGGCCAGCGAAATGGCAGGAATCTGATCGCCAGTGCAGTGAACAGTCAGCCGCACAAGTTACGGTCAGAGTTCAGAGTGTTTAACAAAACAGGCTAGTTCTTAACAATTAACTGGGGTGGGCTACAACTTTAACATTTAACTTGTTCGAATGGTACTGACTTAATTGCAACATTAACTTTAATCTTCGACGGGGGATTGGGTGGAGGACAAAACTCACCATGTCAGTGCCCAGATCGATGCACAGAATAGTCACGGTTCCCAGTGGCAGTGGTATGTCGCAGAGGATGAAGGCCAGGAAGGGCGAGATTTCGGGAATGTTGGAGGTCAGGGTGTAGGCAATGGACTTCTTCAGGTTATCGAAGATCAGGCGACCCTCCTCCACACCAGTCACAATGGAGGCGAAGTTGTCGTCCAGCAGAATCATGTCAGCAGCCTGCGCAGGATCACATACATAATTAATTTGGGCATTCGCGGAAAATGCAATAATATCTCAAATCCATATTGCGCCATCGCTCACTTACAACAACTGACTGTCATAAACCAAAAACATGAGCTCATGCAGAAAGGAAAATAAGATGGTGTACTTTCCCATACTTAAAGACATTAAAGACGTTTTTAACAAAATCCGTTCTTGGGTTATAATAAGAAACATAGCCTAACGCTTTGATAAAAAACCATATAATATGTTAATATGAAATTGCAAGTGTTTAGGTAAGAGAAATATCACGGTTTGTAAATTTAAATTGAATTTCCTTCATTTGAATTGATGGCCAATTTTTGTGATATTTTCACTCCGGATCAACTAGAACTACTATAAACTGATTCTCTTACCTGCTTGGACACATCAGAACCGGCGATACCCATGGCAACACCAATATCAGCCTTCTTCAGGGCTGGCGAATCGTTGACACCATCACCAGTCACGGCCACAATGGCGCCCATGCGCTGGCAACCCTCGACGATGATCAGTTTCTGCTGGGGCGACGTACGGGCGAAGACGATCTCGGTGTGGTAGCGCAGGATCTCATCCAGCTGGTCGCTGGACACATCGCGCAGCTCGGCGCCGTGGACAACGGCGGCCTTGGCCTCGCGGGGATTCACCTCTGAGATGGGGATGTTCAGCCGCTGGGCAATGTCCTCGACGGTCTCGTTGCCCTCGGAGATGATGCCGACGGACTTGGCGATGGCCTTGGCAGTGATCGGGTGATCGCCGGTAACCATGATGACCTTGATGCCGGCCGATCGGCACTTGGCCACGGCATCGGGCACGGCGGCACGGGGAGGATCAATCATGGACATGAGACCGACGAAACGCAGATTATCGATGGGGAAGTTAATGTCGTCGGTGTTGAACTTGAAGCCGGAGGGATACTTGTCGGAGGGCAGCATAAAGTCACAGAAGCCGAGCACACGCTCACCCAGTCCTCCGAGTTCCATGTAGGCATTGTTGAACGCCTCCTTCATCTCCTCGTCCAGAACCTTCTCCTTGCCGTTGATGAAGATAGTGGAGCAGCGCTCCAGGATGCGCTCGGGAGCTCCCTTCATTACGAGCAGGTAACGCGGATCGTTGGCATCCTCGTTCTCGTGAATGGACACCTGGTACTTGTTGGTGGAGTTGAACGGCACCTCGGCGATCTTCTTGTTGCGCTTGCGAATGTTCATCACGTCGCCCAGGGCCAGTTCCATGCACTTGAGCAGAGCAGCCTCGGAGGCATCTCCACTGACCTCCTTCTTGAGGATTGGGACGCCGTCTTGGCCGCCCTTGAACTCGGCACGGTTACAGAGAGTGGCAATGCGAGAGAGCGCCTTGAAGCCAGGGCTGGTTCTATCGTATTGAACACCCGACTGATCCTCGGTGGTGTCGGCCTCGATGATCTGATTGTCGAACCACATGTGAGCGACCGTCATTCGGTTCTGGGTGAGGGTGCCGGTCTTGTCGGAGCAGATGGTCGATGTGGAGCCCAGGGTCTCCACGGCCTCCAGATTCTTCACCAGACAGTTCTTGGAGGCCATGCGCTTGGCGGTGAGGGTCAGGCACACGGTGACGGTGGCCAGCAGGCCCTCGGGCACGTTGGCGACAATGATGCCGATCAAGAAGATGACGGCGTCCAGCCAGTGGTAGCCCAGGATGAAGGCGATCACGAAGAAGGTGACGCCCAGGAACACGGCCACGCCGGTGATCAGGTGGATGAAATGGTGGATCTCCTTGGCAATGGGCGTCTCGCCGGTGTCCAGGCCGGAGGCGAGGCCAGCAATGCGGCCCATGACGGTGTGATCGCCACAGCTGATGACCACACCCTTGGCAGTGCCCTCGACGGCGTTGGTGGAGAAGAAGGCCAGATTCTTGGTCTCCAGCGGATTCTCATGGGTGAACTCGGCGCCGCGGGACTGCGGCTCCGACTCGCCGGTCAGCGAGGAGTTGTCCACCTTGAAGGTGCGCGCCTCGATGATGCGGATGTCAGCGGGGATACGGTCGCCGAACTTCACCTCAACGACATCGCCCAGGACGAGATCCTCAGCGCGCAGCGTGAGTTTCTCGCCCTCGCGGATGACGGTGGCGAACTGGGGTACCATGTTCTTGAACGATTCCATGATCTTTGAACTTTTCGATTCCTGCAGGATACGGATACGGATACCCAGACCATCGTTAGTAAACCGCTCTTCAATTGCCCAGATTTTAAGGGGAAACCTACCTGATAGTATGAGAAAATGCCCGTCACAATGACGACAGCGGAAAGTACAATACCCAGATACAAATTATCGTCGGCCGGCTCCTCGCTGGTGCTGGCCTGGATAGAATAGGCCACGAAGCAGAGAATAGCACCGATCCACAGCAACATGGCGAAGCCACCGAACAGGTTCTTACAGAACTTCACCCATTCGGGTGTCTGCTTGGGTGGCGTCAGCGCATTGGGACCATCGCGCTCCAAGTTCTCCTTGGCCTTGGCGTGACTTAGACCCTGCGGGAGATCGGGAGATCACAATTTGATTACCAACTACCGAAGGGTGGGACACTTACATTCTCGGGATGTGTCTGAAAGCGCTGATACAATTCCTCAGGAGAGATTTTATGAAAGTCGATATCCAACTCCTGTTTGAGATCATCTAAATTCTCCTTTTTATTAACTTTGGCCGGCATCTTGCGTCTTGACTGTTAAATTCAGAGGGAACATATATTAGTGGGCGAATTTAAATGATTTACTGCAGCGATAGACCCACAAGCCGACACAGAATTCGATTTACTTCATGCCATGGTTAGGCCTTTGAAAAGGCGTAGAGTGTTGACCATAGTTCAGAGTGTTTGGAATTGGTTAGAGATTTAAGGGATAGTTTTACTAAAGGGGTAGGAGACAGGAAACCTTCGATAGAATACACACCGGTTAGCATTTAGAGTTAGGGGTATAAAACCGTTGCCCGTTATTAACTACTTACCCGTGTAATTTACAACCTGTCAAAAGATTTTCTAAACCTGTGCACGGCGATGTTATCGAGTGCGGGTGAAATTATTCCGAAATGAGTTCGAGCGTGAGAATATTCAAAACGACCGCTCTATACGTAAAGCTCTAGTAATCTAAGGCATGCCAAATGCGCGCTAAATGACGCTCTCGATCGAAATGAGTAGAGCACGTAAATGAATTGAGGTGCACAAAACAAAGCGACAGGCAATTATACAAACATTCGTTTCGTACCTACATATATTACGTATACAAAACAAAAGAAATTAAAAAGGAACGACAAAAAATAAATAGAAAAAACTGAATGAAAATTAACTTTTCCTATATTGCAGCTATAAATATATATTTACTATGCATTAGCTGACCTCGGAAGCCTTTGAATTAGCCAGAAAAAGTAGAAAAGAAAATCGAAATAAAATAAATCCGAATATTATATTATATTTAGTCTTAGCAGCTGTCTAGTGTCTGGCATTCTATCTTTAACAGTGTCTATAAGTGTTTCTCTTTTTCGAGAAGCACGCGCAATGCTTCTTGGCTCTCTGACGTCATTGTTGGGGTTGCCATGCAATCAAGGCAAAAAACAAACAAATTAAACTACTAGTCATTTGGAAACTTTTGAAAACCGGCTAAAAAACTGTTTTCTATCAACACTACAAAATTCCAGGCAATATTTCTTGAACAAAAAACTACACTTAAGAGCTTAGCTAATGGAAAAATTTCGAGAAAATCGGAAATTGCCATATTTATGGCATTATTATTGGCCATCCTTTATACATAGCGAAGCATAGCTATTTATAGATGCTGTAAACATTTCGCCAATTCTTTCTAAATGTCAACCGAACTCGGTAAATGCCATTGGAAGAATGCCCAAATTTAACAAATATAATAAATAATAAGTGCAATTATAGACCGGGAAAAGGGAAATTGATGGTAACGGAATGGGTTGGGGTTAGTAAAGCGCATAAAATCGAAAGGAAAGCAGAGTGTGTGAAAAGTGAAAAACATAAATAAAGTGGATGAGAGATACTCGTGTGTGTGAGTGAGGAAAATTCGATTTACCTTGTACTGGCCATCGGCTGTCCGATTGTCGTCATCGGTGGCTATAACCGTGGCGACTCGATAAGAGTCCGCTCTCCCATGCTACGCGCATGAAGGTTTCGGTTTCGGTTTCGGTTTGGTTTGGGTTTTGGTGGGTTGGTGGTTCGATTGGTTGTTGGGTGGTGTTTGATTGATGATGTCGATGATGGGCGAACAAAACAACGTATTTAAGGAGGAAGAGATAAAAATCAAAAGTCGAACAAAACGAAAGGCGAGCATAAACAAATGCAAGACGTACACTATGCATATGAGTATTATATAAAAACTAGAGAGTAATTTGCTACCTCTGATAAAGTTTAGATTTTATTTGAGGAGATTTCAAAACAATTATTTCCGAAATTATTATAATATTTTGACTTTATCAGAGCTAGCAATTACCCCAACTATAAGATATACATATAATAACCAAAAAGGTGATGCATAAGTTTGGATGAACCAGAGATACTACAAATAAACTTATGAAATACGAATATAAACATTAATAAGATAGGTTATGATGCATACAGTAATTCTGAACTAAAACTAAAGGCGTTTTTCAAGGGTTTGCGGTTTTCGTTGGCCTGGCAACACGCGATTTGTTTTGATGATTCAGCGCAAATGGAAAAATGGAAAACTTTTGCCAGGCTGAAAAAGGACAATGAATCATGTGTTATACATAGACTTCCAGAAGGAAAGGCTTTCCAGCTGGTGTTAGCCAAAATTCGACCTTATAACGGATCGAAAAGCCTTATCTACAGTGCCTCGTGACTCATTCATGGTGCGCTCAAATATTATTTTGAAAACAAACAAAAGAGTCGAGTAAAGAGCGCACCCGTCAGCGAGAAAGAACTCAAAAGATATGCAATATAAACATCAGACTGCGATTTGTTTGGCCATGCAAACTGAGGGGTCGAAAGAAATCAAATCAAATTAATTAAAAATACGAATGTCTCGAGAGAAAAGTATGTATACACACTAATATATGCGAGGGCGAGGGGAAAAGCGAGAACGCAAACCTGTCGCGTTCACATGGCAGCCAAGTTGCGGGTATATTCGACTATATTCGAGAATCGTACGCTTTGTTTGGCTTTGCTTTTTCGCCCTGGCGTGTCTTGATTTATTTATTTTCATTATATTTTATATGTGCTTTTGCTTTCGGGTTATTTCTTTTGCTATCTTTTTTTGCCTATTCAGTTTTTTTTGGTTCAATTGAGGACGGCGTTGGCCAGCATGAAATAAATCGAACCGAGAATCGGGTCTACAGGGAAATGGCACTGAAAGGTTTCTCTACTTTTTGGCTTACGCACTGTGGCAAGTGTTCAAACAACTATCGATCTGCCTGCGCGGCGGCGTTCGTATCTTTTATCTCTGCGTCGCTGGTTTCCCTCTCTCTAAGATTCCCTCTCAAGTGCTAGACAATCTGATTAGAGGATTAGAGTTAAGATATCGAAATGGGTTAGAATAATACTTAGTGGTAATCGTAGCTTAAGCTTACATACTAGGCCTGCCTAGGAAGTGCAAAACAATTGTTAGCCATGACTTTGGGCGGCGGAAAGCGACTGGTTTTCCCACAATGGCGCTAATTCCGATTTTCCTATTCACAAATTAATTCAACTTAATCGCGCTTTTCATGCTTCAATTGATCCGAAACAATGCCAAGTGGCATTTGGGTTTGGGGGTTTGTGATTGGGGTCCAGGATGGAGATCGAGGCGATATATATACATAATATAAATCAAAATGCGACAATGGCCGGGCAGCCCACAGAAAAGCTTACATAACCCAGCGAAATGGAAAATAGCAAACTGAGAACTGAGAACTGAAAACTAAAAACTGCAAACTGTGAGCTGCCAGCGAGCCAATTAGGCGAACAGATACAAATGTATCTGTGGCTGCGCTCCAGCTGCTTCCCCTCTGAACCGAATAGAACAGAACAGAACGGTTTGCGCACATTTCGCCGCAAACCATTTGGCATTTGAACTTGAATATCAATTTACAACAAGTCGACGGTTCGGAGGGAAAGAGCGGTGCACCGAATTGACGTGCTAATTGTTCAATCAATGCAAAAAAAAAAGAGGAAAAGCAAAAGTATCTGGGAAATGTGTAAGGCTGCCGGGCGTAGCCGAAAACAAGAGATTTGAGCCGCACACAAATTGTCGCCACATCGCTTTCAATCGAAGGTGCATTCGCCGGCAGGTGAGTGCAAGTTCGGTTTTAACCAGTTTCAAACCAGATTGAAGCGGCTCAATCGCTCAGGTGTCTGTTTCGAATTAATAGAACACAATGCATTCGACTCGGAAATCGAAACTGTTTTTCCCTGGGCTCGTTGTTTTCCCCGCTAGACCCCAAAAAACAAAAAAAAATTCCAACTGGCAAACCCGTTTTACTGGGCATGATAACGTATCGTGCCTGGTATCTCGTATCGCGTATCTGAGAAATGCATTTTCACTCTGCCTATCTGTGAACTCGACTTGTTTTTTGTGAACCCCTGTAAATCCAGGTGAGCTTAACTCGCTAATGATCTCAGTTCCCCGAGTGTTCAATTTAAACATTATTAACGATTCCCCGCTAATTGTCTGCTTAATTTTCGCACGTTTTGCATGCTCTGTTGGAAGAACTCAGACCTTTATGACTCTGTTTCTTATCAGAACCCCTCCTTAGAACTAAGACAAGGGCGAGTTATGTAACCCTTATTTAGGATTACTGAAACCTAGGGTAAAAGTTAACTTAAATTAATCATGCTCGCGCACTGGTCAAGGTAAATTATAAATGATTGAGGCAGATACGTAAATGGGGTGAAATATTTCTGATCTCGTCAGCTTTGATTACCCACCTGAGCACTCATAATGCGGATTCTTGTTTAAACTTATTAGAGGCGAGACAGTTAAACGATCAACAAACAAAAATGCAAACGACGACGACGGCGGGAGAGGCAAATAAAATACGAGTAACAAATGAACGGGAAAATAAAATAAAAAAACAACTGAAATGAGAAAATTAAAAGTTAGAAAAGGGCAGGCAAGATTAATACGATTCGAGCTTATGCAACAATCCACAGGATACGCGGGCGCTGGAAGGACGAGGCGGTGGAGCAGCAAGTGGACCGCTGGAAGGCCACGGAGTCATGGGAAAGTGTGTGGAAATGGAATTGGACAATGGAAGTGAGTGTGGAAATGCAGGCGGGCTGCAGTTTCCAGGATGCCAAATAACGGCACATGGCAAATAGAGAGAGAGAGAGAGAGAGAGACAAAGAGAGGGAGAACGGATTCCGAAAGTGAGCGAGCTTAACGGTAAACAGCGCAGTGAGAGCGAATCGCTAGGGGCGCAATCTCGAAAAGAGCGGCAGGAAAATGCTCGAAATTTTCCAAGACTTTTTCCTGCCCCTCTTTTTATGCTGTGTGCGGAATTATGAAATCGCCTGGCGGGGGGTCCCAAATCGCTATATAGCCTATATATTCCACTCATTCGTGTGGGGTGGCCAGGAAATTACTGCTATTCCAAAATGTAAATCGCGTCAATTGAATCTAAACGATTTCATTGCCACAAAAGTACGTCAGACGAAAGCGACGCGGAGGAATCGGACGGACGGAGAAAAAATCCGAAAAAAAAGATAGACGGACGGACGAACGGACAAACGGACGGACATGCGTTTGGCTTGCCATGAACGCCAAATTGAATGCCAAATCAAAAAGGAGGAAAAACATTATTTCTTTCGCTTTCCCTATCCCTCTTTGCACACATTAAATCACTCTAGATCACTCGAACACTGTCAAATCCGTCTGAAAAATGCATCTTTCCCATATGCCCCCCGGGAAAATGAAAATGCCTCGACACACACACACACAGGTTCTTTTCGATCTCCGCTCTCTCTTCAGATTCAGATGGTTACAAATGTATATATCCATTACGCCAGGCATGAAGTTTTGGAAAAATCGATTCCGTACAAGGACGTTGTCGTTTTCTCGACGCCCCTAATGGGGTGGTGGGCGGTCGGTGGGTGGTCGGTGGGCGCTGCAGTTGAGCAGACATGGAAAGTTCTTGGTTTCATTTTGTTCATTTTTTCTTTCTTTCTTTTTTGCTTTTTTTTTCTACCTTTTACACGTTTGGGTGCTATTACACAATTTTTGCGCTTGGCGTTGCGAATTCTGTTTTGGGGGCTTTCGCAGAAAACTACCCCGTTAGCAGTATTGAACTTGTTTTCAGCACTAAAACCGATTCGCGTTGGAACGAGACAAATACAACAAATACTGATCACACACGCTTGCCGTTCGCTCTTGGCTACTGGCTATACGTAATCCTTTTGTCTTTTCGTCGAACGAGAGGAGTTAGTCCTGTGCCGTGCTTCCTCTTCTCGAGCTGGACTCAATCGATGCACAGTTATTGTGTAAGCAGAGCAGCGGAGCACACACCAGCGCCGAGGGGGCGGGCGGGCGGCGGGGGAGCAGAGCTGTACTGTACCACCCGACAAATAGACGAGATAGCTGCTGCCACAATTGGACCTTCCCAGTTCGGATTCGACGTTCGACTGAAACTTTTCGGCGCGCCGCGAGTGGTTAAGCTTTCTCGATTCTCGGATAGAACGTTCTGCCTCTGCCGACGTCGACGGCTCGGCGAGAGCTTTCGCCAGCAGATGTTACACAGCGGCCCCAATGCTCTCCTACACCCGTCGAAAAACTAGACTGTATTTGGGTTCGAAATTCGTAAAAGATTCAAGGTGTCTTCTCTCTGAAAGCATTTCAACAACCGGAAAACTACATAATGTAGCCATGAAAAAGTAGCTTAGTTTTATCCCTTTTTCATTGCAAAGTAGTTGACCTACATTTTCTTAGATGTCTAAACTGGTTTTCATGCGGAACATAACTTCCTTATTTTAGTCCGTTTTGGAAAATAGGATTTCTAAATCTCATTTTGCTGTGTGTTTGATTTATCGTGTGTCGAAGGCAATTTTTTTTTCATTTCCGATTAAAGTGTGAGTAGTTGAATTCTTTGATTTGGGATATCAGAACCAAAAATACATTTATAAATCACTTTTCAAAAAATCATAAAATTAGCCATTATATGAAACAACTCGTACGAGTGTTTCATCTGCGAGAGTTATTGTTGTGTTCCGTGAACTACAGAGTTAGATGGATTTGGAATAAAATTTCGAAAATTTGTTTACAGACTGACTGAACTGAGGGCCTCACATTTTTTTAAAAGTGTACCCTCTCGTGCGAAAAATGCACAGTGGCTGAGAGCTTTCCAGCCGAAAAATCTATGGCAGTGTGACAAGTGAGGCAGGCAATGGCGAGAAGAGCGGAATGGAGAGCGAGCACTTCGAAACTGGAGCAGCGGGAGAAGAAGAGGGGATGGGGGAGGGGGCGGCCGAGAGCGCTAGGGGTTGGCTGCGCAGCTCGGAGCAGCGGAATGTATGTCAGTTGGAGAAGGACGGGCGGAGAAAGGGGGGTACAAAAGAACGGGCACAAAAGAGGGGTGGCGAGAAAAAGAGAATCAGCCACAGAGTGATAGAGAGCGAAAATCTACATAAATTGTATAACGAAAACAAAGCGTTTGATAAAAAGGGCAGGCCAACAACTTTGGCATTTCGGAACTGCCGCCTTATCGAGCCCTTGCATGACGTCACTCCAGCTGTACCCATCCCCCCCAGAAGTGATGACAATTACTCAGACTAGGATTCAATATCCCAGTCAGTTGGACAACCCCCGGGGCCAAGTGGAAAACCTCCCCGGTAAATCAGTGGAACACGCTAGGAAAATCATATTCCCATATTAAGTAATCCACATTCAATCTACGTAGCCCAGATATATCCCCTATGTCGCCTATACCCACCCATGCAAGGATGTGTCTACCCGTGACTCCAAGCTTTTCCTATTCTTACTTAACACATTTATGGGCAAAGTGGCGGGGATGCGGGTGAAATGACACACCACGACTGGCTTAAGGACTCAAGTAATTTCCTTTTCGGACCTTGAGTCTATTTTGGGTCCCTTGTAACTCGAGTTTAATTACACGTAATGTTGCCAGCACAGAAACGAAAAAATCACATGGATACGCACTTGGTCAGTGAGTAATACACTTCACAAAGAAATCTTAAAATATAAAATAAAAAAAATAAATATTTATAGCATTCATTCAAATCAAACTTAATAATTTCATGATTATATTACTTTAAAGAAATCTAGGAAATGTACATACTTCAAGCTCCCTCATGAAAATGTGTGCAAAGATACAATTTTCGACCGGGAGATTTTTTCTGTGTGCACAAAATCCGACGGAAAATCAATATAAGACATCGTGCCAGCAAAAGCAGCGGGAAAAGTTTCATTCTCTGGTTTTTCGGGGGGTAAGTGGTATTACTCCCCTATCGATCCACCGAGGCCATCCAGATTTCTGCCCGGAATCGTGCACGTTTTATCAACTTATTAAATCGCGTGTGATATCCGCTGAAGGAGTGTCTCGGCCAGATGAACTCCAACTCAATTTGTGGGTCATCAACTTGGCTACATGATACAGTACATGGGGGGGTGGCCGAAGAGGAGGCCCAAAATAAATAAACAAATGCCGAATTAAGTGACCGTGTTGGCCAGTTGTGTCCGCCAAAAGTTCTACCCAACCGAGCTGGCCTAATATCAAGTTATGTAATGACACGACAAAAAACACTTGGCAACCGGAATGAAAGTTGAGATACATAGATAAAGTTATAAATATTTCCCAGATATCGCCGGGGTGACCCATAGAAGTATATGTATCCAGGCGAAGCGACTCGTGAGCCTTTTACTTATGTAAAATGAGAGCGACGTCACAGCTCGTCAATGAGTTCAGCTGACAAATGGTCAACTGACGAGGGTTCCACCTAGCCAAGCCAATGGCCAATCGGTCAGTTTGACGTCTCCAGACGGCGTCCTATATCGCAGTCATTGGATATCAAGCCGGCCATCGATCAGTCAAGCGCAGATATTCCCCGGAACAGCTCAATTTGGTGTCTCACCTGCCACGACCACGCCCCCGCCACGTGTCGCCTCCCCTTCCGTTCCTGGGAAACTGAGTGCCAGCCTTCTGAAAAATCAATACGCGAACTATGGCTGCGGCTAAGGGCCGGGGGCCCACTAAACAAAAAGGGTCTGTTCCACTGGCAATTATGACTTTTAGGCAAAATCAATAAGCGGAGCAGCGCTGATGACTTTACCATTTAGCGTGGTGCCAAAGTCAACTAGCCACTGCCGCTGCGAAGACCCCAATATGAACTCAAATTCGAGCTATAGAGCTGGAGGATTACGATGACTCTACTCTAAGAATACTGGGTCATTAGTGGTCGAATAATATATTTATTGTGGGGTCTAATTTTACAATATGATGCATTATAGTTATTTTGATTAACACATCTTACTTTCAATACAATTTAATATTATGTTTTGGAACTCAAATTAAATTGTACAAAATTTAAAAACAAAATGTTAGAAATACTCTATGGCCAACATAAACTTAGATGAAGGACATTAATTAAATATCCTGGCTATAAAATGGAAATGATAAGATCTGTTACTTGGCATTTCATGGTCCAAGTTCGCTTTGGTTGTGCGACATTTGAAAGTTTGAGCTGGGTAAGTTCCACTATACAGTTTGTAGGAGTTGCATTCGCACTTTGCATTCGAAAAAGGGGATGAGCGTGCAAGTTGGTTTGGCAGCGAGCAGCTAAAACTTTGGCCAGCTCGCTAATTGCCATTGGCAAGTGCAATCCTCCGGCCGCTGGGATTGAGGGGGTGTTTTTTGGGGGGGCGCAGAGGAGCAAGAGGAGCGATTCAGGCCGCAAGAGTGGGCGGCGTGGCTCGATTCCGTTGCATAATGGCGTTCATGACCTGGGCCCTGGCAAAACTGAAAGGCTGGCAGAGCGGCGACAGAAATCAGAGACGGCGACAGAAAGTCCGAGACCAAGTGCAGCATAATCACAGCCATCACGAGTGCCCCGATATGCGAGCGAATGAGCCATAAAGCTGCCAGCGGTCTGTTGTACTTGAGCATTGATTAAAATGTGTGACCCAATGCCACCCCCCGCGAACCCTGGGGGGTCTTTTCTCGCCATGAATGGCGGTCGGACTACAATGGTCATGCGAGGAAATGGTATTGTGATATGTTTCAAGGTAAGGGAAGTGGTGGGCAATTATTACAGTCGTTGCAAGTGTGGGCTAAATGTTTACAAAACTTTTAAACTTTATTTTAGAAAGAACTTAGTGATATATATCAACTACTTGAATCAGAAACACTTTTTATACCCTAGTACAAGCTCTTAAACAAATCCTAGTTCGAAATTCTGATCAAACACGACTTAGCACCGTGTAAACTCATTCCAAACCCAAGTCGAAGTCCGGCTCTAGTTAGTCTATGATGCCATTCGAAGCAATTTGCTCGCCGCTCCTCGTAGGCGTTTATGACAATAGATTTACGAGCATAGCTCGTCTAATTTACGCCATTCCCATTGTAAAGAAGCGACCATCCATCCATCCATCTATCCAGCTCATATAGTAGTTAAAAAGATGAGAAAAACCTTAGACGGCGACAACGATGAAGGAAAGTCACTGGCATCTCTCGGCGGGCAGCATTGAATGAAATGCCCCGGAAAAAACCAATTGTTATTCCACGTTTAATTTAGTAGAGCAATGGAAAGCATAAGCTTGTGATATAGCCTCCTACCACCTCCCTCCGCCCACCGCCCACCTTGTGAATCCGATTTCACGGTTTGCGGGAACGGACAGCCAGCAGCTGACTGGGCTGCATCGTTGTGGGCGGGCAGATCTTGGATTCATCCTATTCCATCTCATCCCATCGCATCGTATCTCATAGATACGGATACAGACACAGACAGCGCTTGGCTTTGAGTTTCAGTTGGGTAATGCGAACCGACGACGGAGACCGTTCGTCCGAAAATGGAGCAATAAATTCTAATCAAAATTAAAATATACATAATAATAAAGTAAGCAAAGCAGCTATCTAGTATAGCACAAGCATTTTCTATGGCCCATTCAGCGCGTGTGTGCACTTGTCATTGCCTGGAAACCAACTGGACGGAAGGGGCTGTCATGGGTTAAGGGGGCCGCTTCAATATGTTGGCCAAATGAGTTCGCGCAGCGGGAACTGCTGCCACAGTCAGAGTGACTTTTCTCGTTCTCTTGGCAAAAACAAGGTTCACTTGGTTTTGGGGTGTTCTTCAAGAGCCCTAAAACCGGCGTCAAGTTGCCACTTCATCTCCATAAAGCCAACTGATAGTGGAGATCTGGTGAAATAACTATCTTTAATAACTCGGAGGCTGGGAAACGAGCGTAATGATGGTTAGTCAACTTTGTATTCCTTATCAGTGAGACTAGGTATGTAATAATATAATAGCATGACCAACCTGGATATAAAAGTGTTAAGAAAACAATGAAAGAATAAAATATTTGAAATATTCTGTCTGAACATCATTAGCCTTTGCATATAACCGGTTTGGAACTTTGCATTTCAAATTAGCCAGTAATTTATTTA